ACTGACTCTCACGAGACTTCTGAGCCTGTGGGTGCGGGTCGGTGCTCCTGCAGTTGCAAGTGCAGTATTTCCCCCACAGACCACCAGGGCGGCCGAGGATTCCTTTGTTCAGCCTGAAATTACTCATTTAGTCATCCATAACGTTATGGAACACATTAATTAACTGAAAAATGTTGCATAGTGTCCCTTTAACAAGTGGCTCTACTACGGTAAAAGGTATGAAATATACTGATGAGGGCTGACAGATTTTTAAAAGGAAATATGTTCCCCTGTTTGGAGTTATTTCACCTGAGCCCAAGCTTTTTAAAACAAACGCTGAAGTGGAGTGTCAGCACACTACTTCAAAGGATGATGGAAAGGAGAGGGAGAGAGGAATGAGGGGGAGATAAAGTACAAACCAGTTTCAGACCAGAGTCTATGTAGCTGTTAATCATCCAGTGCTATCAAGTGAGACAAGCATAGGGGAAGAAACATGTATGTGACAAACACCCTGATCGTTTTAATGTCCTTTTGCTCGATTGCCCCAAGGTTACTGTATATTTTCTTACTTTATCTTTTCCCTAATAAAGACTTTGTATTCTGCTGGAGTTACATTTATTACATCTGCCAACTTAAATGCTGCGTGTAGTCTGTATAAGCTTTAAACGGCACAGTTGTTGGTCTCTGCATAAATACTTAGTTTTCTGGAATCAACAATTTGACGCAGAAGCACAATCAAAACATTGTGTTTGCACACTGGTCACGAAAGGTCCAACACGTTTCATTTGAAAATCTAAAGGAAATGTTGATTCATCCCTCTATTTATGTGGCCACCGTTTTCACTACCATTTCCATATGTAAATCTGTTTTACTTTGGAAACCATGACATGTAAATATTTCATGAGATACAAGTAGGATCAGCCAGTTAATAGATGCAGGATTATTCTCAATATTCTTTCTACAATTTTTTTTAAGTGAATTCATGTAATGTAGTTTGTATTTTTATCTATTTATCTAATGTAAATAAAAAAGAACTTTTAAATAATGGATTAGAAATAAAGGTTGCAAGTAGCTCCCTGTTGCATCAATAAAACCAAAGTATTTTATTTGAATTTTATATGCTGGACCAAAACCAAATAGCAAATAGTTGTAAATGATGTAGTTATAGGTTAGACTAACTATTTATTTGTTTTGAATAAAAAATCTGAATAGTGTGTCATTTATATGTCTCCAATCCATCGATTTAGGACTTTTTGAAACCAATATTTTCTTAAGTAATAGCTGCAAGTCGTTTAGAGTATCTCTCTCTCTCAGTGTCAGATATCTCAGTACTTGGATAATCTGTGCAAAATGACCTAAGTCAGATTGGACGTACGGCCTTGGTGATCATCTTTTTTTAAGAAGTCTTTATATTTAATTTTGGTCTTAGATATGACTGGACCTTACTTGTATTTTAACATGCTTTGAATAACACTATTCCATCCAAGGTTAGACTGAAGGATAAACCTCTGTTCCAGAACTGAGTCTCTAAAATGTTTTCTTTTATAAATTCTGTTTTCAGCCCAATCGATCAACTCTAGTCAGCTTCCCTGTAACTGCAATATACAAGTCAATCCTGCGAGAGATTTAATTTACAGGTCTTTGAGTTAAGGGACCTCAACGAGAAGTCAGTACACTTTTATTCTAAAAGATTTCTTTAAAGGATTGGACGTTTCTATCATGCTGACTGTCAGCTATCTGTTGCTCAGATGAACCATGTCAGTGAAATTCACGTGTTGAAACCTCGAGGCTGGATTAAACAAAGCAGCTCCTTCGTTTCAGGTTCATCTCCTGCAATCAGGAGGAAAAGCCTAGCCCGATCTGAAAACTTCCAGTACAGAAAACTCAGTTAGACTTAGATTTGTTTATGGAAAACCTCACTGAAAATGTATTGACAGCATTTAGTAGCAATAACTTCCTGCTGGCCACAAATACATAAGCAGCAAAGGGGAAGGGTTGTAGTTAACCCGTAATTCACACTAAGAGGCCTGCAGGGATTCGTGTGAAGTTCTTTAAGAGTCTGGTTGCAAAGCAAGTAGCTGGGGATGAATCCAAAGTAGCAGAATTTTATTTGCCTTTTTTTGGAACGACATATTTTTTAACCACACAAAAACCGAGTCAAAGTCTTGCATGTCGGACAGACTGAGTTTAGAAGCCTCCATTAAGCCACATGGTTCCGAAACACTGAAAGGCCAATTGAATATGTAAAAGATAAAGTGTAAAGATCTGAAACGATAACAATTACAGTGTTTAGAGTCTGAACACTGAGCAATAGCATGCAGCTTTGGAAAAGCAGGAGTATTATTAAAATAAAACTGTATATGTTCTTCTTGGAAAAATCTATTGCAGTACTTCTATAGTAACTTCTATTCGGGGGTATAGAGTGTTATTTGAGCACGTCTCCCTCTAAAACTGGGCTAGGCCCATCTGATAAAACCCAGTGGAGGAGCAACTGTGGCTGAGGGATTCAGTCCCATCTCAGATAAAACTGGAACTTGAAAGGTTAGATTCTGCTGTTGTCTTTTCTCCTTGGCTGCAACAGGCTCGCACAGATCCCTGGCTAAGATAAACTGCAGCTGGGGCATCACTGCTACGGTGAGTGATTGCTGTGAGTGGAGGAGCAGCGAGAGATAGTAGAGAAACAAGTTGTAATCCTGGACGTTGTGGAGGAATGCCCCCCTCCTGATTTGCCGTCCTCCTCCTTGGTAATTTCCTTTTCTCTCCCCTGTGCACTTGAAACATTCCT